TCTCTCTCTCTCTCTCTCTCTCTCTCTCTCTCTCTCTCTCTCTTCAGTAGCAGTTAATCACAGTTACCAATCGGTGTGAGCCCATTAGTGCGAGTCAATCGGTGCTGCTTCCATCAATTGAAGTGCCTCAGTTTGCCTGTCAGTCTCTGTGTTTCGAACACGTCGTTCACACGTCGATTGCATCGGATTCAATTAAACACATCGCGCCATTAGATTGGAACAATTGTGTGTGCGTGCCTCTAAATCTTGCCCTACGACAAACAAAGTGCCACTTTAGCAAAGACCTTACAAAATGGTGACAACGGCCCCGAGAGAGAGGTTGGTCTGTGTGTCTTTTCATCACCAAAAAAAACTCGATTATTTGATAAGCATCTGAACTGATGTATCTCTGCGATATCTTTCACATCTTTCTCGTGGCACTCATCTAAACTGTCTGTTTGCTAATCTAACTATACACAAAAAAACTTGAAAATTAAAGTGCACATACCTATGATGGCCGAGTTTGAGGTCGTCAGAGCGTCACAGTGATGGTCGTCATCATCGTTGTTGCTGCCGACCAATGACGGATGGTTGCTACTGTTGGCGATGAGGACACCGCTCTTGTCTGTGAGAGTTGTGCAAATAGAGGCAGAGGGAAAAAGATGTCACCTTTTCATTGAAGCACTCAAGAACAATGAGCCGAAAAACTTACCGCCGTTGATGTCACTTTCATTTGAGGACGTCGAAAATCGAGACGATGTGTCCATTTCCTCTGAATTGGAACCGGCTGCTCCAGCTCCTGCTTCTGTTCCTCCTCCGCTTTCAGCTCCCTTGCTGCTCAACTGCTCTGGAACCTTTGTGTGCGTGTGTGTGACGTTTATGGGAAAAGATGTAGATAAAACGTTATCTTTCCAAAATAACAGAAAGAGAGAAGAGCTTTACCTGAATGAGCTGTGCCATGGCGGCAGACAGCGTCAGTCCGGCCTTGTGCATCGCCACAAGTCCGTCCTGGCAGCCGTAGAGGATGCTCATCTCATGCGCCTCGCTCTCCTCTTGCGCCTTTTCAGAAAGCGTGTAAGAAACCATATGGTTACTCGTTACTTGTTTAGTCTTGCAAGAGGTGGTCAAATGGAACGAGCAAAGGGAAGTGGTAAGCAACACCTGACCACTACTAGAGGCCCGCAGTTTTGGGCTAGAAACGTACCTGTTGGCGACGCAGGGCGACCTGGGCGGCCATGACGCGCTGTCGTTCGGCGATCAGCGTGCACTTGGCGCACATGCAGTCCTTCCACCGGCAGTATCGCTTGTGGCCCTGCTTAGGTGATGGTTTTGGATTTATGATTGTTGGGGCACTTTTTTCACAGTAGCACACACTTACCTTTAGAGCAGAGACAACGCCGTGATTACGACAGCGGGCGCACTTTGGCGTTCGTTGGTACCGCTCAGCGACTGAGCGCATCAGAAAGGAGGTCGGCGAGGGCGGACTCGGACTGCGACTGTTTGAGGGTGAACCGGTGGAGGAGAATGCATTCTGCTGGTGGTGATGATGAAGACTGTTCAGACTATGCTGAAGGTGGTTGCTGTCAGCTGATGACGACGATGATGAAATGTTTTTCTGCGTCAGACTGTTGTCCACAGCGGAAGATGCCGACGAGGACATGGTCATGGTCGTGTCGGTGATGATGGTCGTCGGTGAGTGCTGAAGAAGGTACTGTGATGGTGAGCAGGGGGAATGCTGCTGCTCTTGCATTGGCCTTGATGAGAATGATGATCAGTGAAACATTGAAGAACTTCTTTAAACAAAGCAAAGTCTTCAAAGTTAAAGTTGGCGTTGTATCAGAAGAGAGCTATTTTTGTCGAAGTGTGCCCGAATAGTGGCAAGACCCGAGTGGTAGTGTGCAACTACTGCAATGAAACTCGTCTCTACTCCCGACGGTCTTTGGTGCTGTTTTGTGTCGCCGATCGTCGAGCACCGTGATCACCGTCTGGCTGGCTCCTGCTCGTCGAAGGAGGCGGGTACAGTGGCTGCAGCAGTGGCAGAAGCAAGCTCTTGTCCCGTCCGCAGTCAGCCTGAGCCCAGCGAGCTTATAGTGTGATACGAGCAACATTTGCGGTAGCGAAAAAGGAGGAGACACTGCACAGGCACTGCAGTGCTTTGCCTCAAGTGGCAACTCTCTGTTTCCACTGTGCCATTGTCTGTCCGTGTCCGTGAGTCGGTGTGAGAGTCTGCAATTCGGGCTAGCACTCTTCGGCAACGGCAGTTCTCTTTGCTCTTTATCAAATCGCACAATGGGAAGGCCGGTTGTCGGTGCCGGTAATGGCTGAAGAACATGCCTGAAAGAGTGCTGAAAGTGTGTGTGTGCCAGTGTTGTAGAGTAATGGCTCGCCAAGGCTGCCTGAACCGAATTTTGGCAGGCAACGATGAGAACAGTTGTTCTTGCACTGATGATTTGCCCAGCAGTGACGCCTGCTTTTCTAACTCTTGTCAATAGTTTGATCTTCAGAAAGTCTGCTTTTGTTACCAGCTAAGTTCATTGCTAAACCTTGATAGGCTGTTTCGCTAACTTTAACAAATTCTGGCAAATTTCATTATTTGACGGCAATATTTTTTCGGTTCAGCCTGAAGAGAACATAAGAGTAATTTTTTGCTGTCCAAAAGCTGCCATGATCAAACAGTGATCACTTTTGTTGCATACCCCTTGTGTGTTATTAATTTTCATCTGCCAGAACTTGCCAGAAAATGCCTTTTCACTTTTTCTTTTTGTTTTTACTTTGCAATACCAATAACAGTTCTAGTCAGAAGACAGTGCAGTCTATTCTTCAGAAAGTGCAAGTTATTAAAAATGTGCTTCCCAAAAGGAAGAGGTGCTGATGCATTCCACAAATAACTTTCAAAGCAGGACTCGGTAGTGGAGACACTTTGAGTAAAGTAAATGAGCGGCAGACAAAGAATCGGATGATGATGATGATGATGGTGGTAGCAATGGCAGAAACTTTTAAACAAAAGATCTGGTGAACTGCTCTTTTGAGCTTTATCGATCATGCCGACAATGGAAAGGCACACACTGACATTCATCGAGTGACAATCTGCCGGAACATCATTCTTTTTCTTTCTATTTGGGGCAACTAAAAAGGGCAAATCACTTCCAGAAAAAAAGATCAAAACAATATTTAATATAAACTTCTGGTGTTGCTGTCCGATGTGCAAGTACAAGTACAGTGAAGTATGACGATCTGTTTGCCGGAAACAAACCATTTTTCACATAAATACAACAACAAAAAATAAAGTAATGACTTTACCAATAACCTGGTGCTCGCAAGTGGCCATCAAGCTTGATACGTCGGATCTTTTGACTCATCATCAGTTGTTTCCTCTTCTGTCTCTTTTTCTACTACGACTGAAACAGTGGATTTATTTGGAGAAAGAAGATAGTCGTCGTCCGGTTCAAAAGGCACTGGCTCACTAGCAAAACGACCATAAGCATAGTGATTTATTTTCGATGACTTTTTCCACTTCTTTGGGTTTCTGTTTGCCATTGTTAGACCTGAAAAAGAAGACGAGCAAAAGAAGCAATGCTTTTTAATTTGAGGCTTCTTCCAGATTACAGGCACCTTTAAAATAAGTTAAAATTTGACATTCATCGGGTTTTTAGACAGCAGACATACCTTGAAAAGCTTCAACATTTTTGTTCCATTGTGCCAATTTTCAATTCGGGTAAAACAAGATTTGCAAGCAAAATCAGGAATAAAGTCTTGTTTTGGTTCCGGAATGATGCCAAAGTAAGCTTTGTATGACTTTTGAAAATTTTCAGTGAATCGACTTGATCGGCTTTTCACAGAACACATCAACCCACACACAAAACAGAAACGATTTTTGTTGTACACTTGTGCATCGTCAGGCAAGATGAGAGAAAACAAAAGTGAACACTCTTTGTAAAACAAGTCGCTTTTATAACTGCAAAAATTTTAAATTTTTTATTTTTTATTTATAAACTGAATTTGGTTTTTGAATAAAATAGTTTTATTGCATTGAATAACTGTTAATCTTTTTAAGGCAAGAGTGCTTCGAACTTTTTAATTTTACATGTTTCTAATAGTTTCCATGCAAAACGCTCATTGTACATTAAATTTATACAAATTTCGGTTATCGCTTCTAAAATTATGATTTTGGTTTTAAAATAATCTTAAAGACTTTATCTTTAATCGTATGGAGGGGTTTTAGAAAATATTGTTTTGGGATTTTTTAATGACCGATCAAAGTTGAAAAGTTTGTTCATTTCAACTTTAACTCGCTGCAGAACAAAAACTAAACAAGATTTTTCNTTTTAAATTTTTTATTTTTTATTTATAAACTGAATTTGGTTTTTGAATAAAATAGTTTTATTGCATTGAATAACTGTTAATCTTTTTAATAAATAATAAAATGGTTATAATTATACTGGATAATTTGACAGAATAAAAAANTTATTTTAAGACCAAAATCATAATTTTAGGAGCAAAAACCGAAATTTGTAAAAATTTTATGTACAATGAGTGTTTCGCATGGAAACTATTAGAAACATGTAAAATTAAAAAGTTCAAAGCACTCTTGCCTTAATAAATAATAAAATGGTTATAATTATACTGGATAATTTGACAGAAAAAAAAGCTGACAAATTAACAAATTAGGTAGACAGTGGGCGAGCGAGTGAATGCAGGAAACCACCACTTCTACTGTTTGCCTTCGCTTTTGGAGCCGCCGGCCGATGACTTTCCATCTGAAGAACCAGGCTTGGAGCCACCGCCGCCACCACCATCGGCACTGCCTGCAGCTGACTCGGCGCCACTGCCCCCACCTCCGGCACTGCTCTTTCCACCCTCAGCGGAAGCAGCCTTTGAGCCAGGAGGGGCACCTGATTCAGCGGCCCCCGAGCCTTCTTTTGAACCGCCGCCGCCGCCGCTGCTCTTGCCGCCATCAGTCGACTTGGAGCCAGCCTTGGAGCCAGTTTTAGAGCCTGCAGCTGATCCGGCTTTGGAGCCACCGCCAGTAGAACTGCCGCCCGCGACGGCCGACTCAGATCCAGCGCCGCCTCCTCCACCATCGCCACTTTTGGCTGCCTCAGTGGACTTGGAGCCAGCTTTGGAGCCGCCACCACCAGAACTTTTGGCTCCGTCGGTTGATTTTGACCCGGCTTTGGATCCGCCTCCACCGCTGCTTTTGCCACCATCAGTCGACTTGGAACCAGCTTTAGAGCCAGTTTTAGAGCCACCGCCGCCGCCACCATCGCTGCTTTTGACTCCTTCAGTTGACTTGGAGCCAGCTTTAGATCCGCCACCGGCGTTACTCTTGCCGCCCTCAGTCGATTTTGAGCCAGCCTTAGACCCTCCTCCGCCATTGCTTTTCCCGCCGTCAACTGATTTGGACCCGGCTTTAGACTTGGATCCTCCGCTGCTACTCTTCACTGCCTCAGTGGACTTAGAAGCAGCTTTAGAGCCACCGCCGGAACTCTTGGCTCCGTCAGTCGATTTGGAACCAGGCTTGGATTTTCCGCTGCTACTCTTGGTGCCTTCAGTCGACTTTGAGCCAGCCTGTGAACCGGCTTTAGAGCCAGTTTTTGAACCAGCCTTTGAACTAGTTTTTGAGCTAGTCTTTGAGGCAGCTTTTGATTNGGAGCCACCGCCGCCGCCACCATCGCTGCTTTTGACTCCTTCAGTTGACTTGGAGCCAGCTTTAGATCCGCCACCGGCGTTACTCTTGCCGCCCTCAGTCGATTTTGAGCCAGCCTTAGACCCTCCTCCGCCATTGCTTTTCCCGCCGTCAACTGATTTGGACCCGGCTTTAGACTTGGATCCTCCGCTGCTACTCTTCACTGCCTCAGTGGACTTAGAAGCAGCTTTAGAGCCACCGCCGGAACTCTTGGCTCCGTCAGTCGATTTGGAACCAGGCTTGGATTTTCCGCTGCTGCTCTTGGTGCCTTCAGTCGACTTTGAGCCAGCCTGTGAACCGGCTTTAGAGCCAGTTTTTGAGCCAGCCTTTGAACTAGTTTTTGAGCTAGTCTTTGAGGCAGCTTTTGATCCAGCTTCCCCACCAGATGACTTGCCTTCGTCGGCAGCACTAGAAGTAGCTTTAGAGCCAGGAGCACTTGCCTTGCTGGACTTGCGCGACTTGCTGGCCTTTGAGTCGGCTTTTGAGCCGGCGTTGCTTGTCTTTGATCCCTCCGCGGAGCTCTTTGCCGCAGATGAGCTTTTCACTTTTGACTTTTTGCTTTTACCAGCTGATTCGCTGGCGGCGGCGGCAGAGTCAGCGGCAGTGCTGCTTTTGGCTTGACTGCCAGAGGAGCTGCTGCGGCTCTTCTTCTTCGGCTTCCCTTCACCCGAACTGCTCGACTTTGATTTGGACTTTTTCTTCTTTTTGCCGCTCTTGACGCTGCTTTTGCTCGGTGTCTTCTTCTTTCCGCCAGCACCAGCGGCAGCAGCACTTCCAGAGTCATCATCGTCCACCACCGAGCTGCCGTCAAGGTTCTTTGCCTTTGGAGCGTCACCGGTGAAGATGATCTCATTGAAGGAGCGCACGTACGGCAGCTCTTTTTTCTCCTCCGCCGACAGCTTGTTCACATCTCGACGGTGGGTCATGATGAGAATCGCCCCCAGACCGGCCTTCTTTGCGGCCATCGCCTCCGGGGCGCAGTGGGTGAGGAAAAGCACGTCCTCTGGCGCCTGCTTGATCTTGCCGACGATCTTCTTAAAGGTAGCCGGATCAGAGAGTTGTCCCTCCTCGGTGTCAAAGTGATCCGAAATGAGAAGATTCATGTCGCCCTTGCTAGTCTTGGCGAGGTATCGTTTGGTGGCCTCCTTCCAGCCATTGCTGAACAGGTACAGCTTCACCTTGTCCTCCACCGTCCAGTGGTGCATCTGCACAGCCACGTCAGTGTACAGCGGCGTCTCCAGGCGGCCCTTGGCGTAGCCGTCAAAGATGACGTGAAATCGAAACAGGGTCATGCCCTCGTTGTCCTTTTTCTGGTCCAGACAGTAGGTGACGTACTTGGCGACACTCTCCTGAACCTTGCCGGCGTCCTCCCCCGGCTCGGCGATTTTTGGCGCCGCCTCGTCCTTCTTTGAGGCCTTTCGCATCAGCGTCACGTCATTCTGCACGACTTCATTTGCCCAGTTCTCCACAAGGTACTTCTTGGCGTTCTGCTTGATGTACGGAAAGAGAATCTGGTCGATGAAGAAGGACTTGGTGGCGGTGGCCACAAGGTCAAAGATGACCGCAGCTGGCTTGCGCACTTTTAGCGGAGCCATTGCAATGCGAGGGTTTGGTGAATGAAAAAGAGATTAAAAGTATGATGAGCGCAGAATAAAACGGGAAACGTGTAACAAAGCAAACTCAAACGAAAAACTGGTTGAAAAACGATACGTGTGCTTACCATTTTAATGGTTACAATATGTTCGAAAAAATAATCAAAGAGAAAGTACGAGTCAGTTTTGAATGGCTGAATAGTTTTAAAGTAAAATAAGTAAGTTTGTCAAAGTAATACTTTTGAAAAAATATAAAAATTGCACATTTTGATAAACTGAATTCGCTCCAAGTTCAATTCAAATTTTTTAATGATTTTGAGCGCTGTCGACACCTGGTGGCCTACATTCAAACAATAATTTTAAACTGACTGTCGTCTGCTGGAAACTACTGTTGCCCCATTTATCTCCAACGTGCTTCAGATGCCAGTCATGCTTTGGCAGTGGCTTACCAACTCCAGATAAGCACACCAGGACATCTGTTGTACTCTGCCTTTATTGACATTCTGCCCCGCTACTACTTAGAGTACCTGTGTCGTACAGTGTGTATACGTTTCCAGTTAATTGTTTTTGTTCCTTTTCTTGGATTCTTTTCCTCCTACTACCCACAACGTAACCTGATTATCATGTTTTGGTCGTCAAGTTAACATCACCGTTCTTTGTTAGAGCTCGCATCAATTTGAGTATGTTGGAGTGAGTCAATGAACGAGAAAGGTTTACACAGTAGTGCGTGTTTGTGTGCCACTGTCGATGGTGGTTTTGCCCAACTCACAAGCAAGCTTCCTTTTTCCAGTCATCTTGTTCATTTCAGTTACTTCTATAAACGACAACATCTGCTTGTACTCTACACCTTCGTTCATCAGAGTATGCAACCCAAAGTACTTAAATGTTTCCAATCGATACTTTTCGTACTATTGCTGACTCATGGCACCGACGATGATATTTCCTTTGAAACCTTGATTCAACTTACCATTTGCCAATCAATACGCACTTTCTATTCAGGCAAACTTGAATGTCATTAGCAGAGTGCACCTTTAGCACTCGTCGGGCAACTGCACTCTTTCAGCACTTTCAGGATTTGCCCAGTCATCAGTCAGTTTGTGTGACATTTGCCATTTACCGGGTGATCAGTGTCCAGTTATGATGTGACTACAGAAATAGTAACAGAAAGAGCACTAATTTTCTCTACCTTCCCCGACTTTCTGCCCCGCGTCTCATATTTGCGTACAACAGTGAGTCAGTCAGTCGACGCAATAACTCAGCTGTGCTGTTGCTGCTTCTTCAGTCAGTGCTACCTCCGCTGATGCTCTTTCTCAACCTGTTTGTTGTTTGCATCACCAGCGGACACCAAGTTCTGGCAGAGGTTTAGCTGCTGCCGCTTTTTAGCTGTTGTCTCTTCTGTTGTTCCTTCCACCGTCGTGGTCGTCGTCAACTGCCATCTCACCCTGAACACTGGTTTGTGTTTGTGTATGTTTGCATGAAGGCACCGTTCTCCCCTTTCAACAGCAACAGCCGCTTCATCAGTTCCAATAGATGAATTACTGGTATTTGGGCAGTTGCAGCCGTAATCGTAGTGGATTTGCCAGTCAGCAGACTGTCCACTGTTGACAGCTGTACACAACACTGCCGCTGACAATCACACTGACGGTGTCAACATCATTCACGGCCACTTAGCGACAGTAGTAGCAGTAGCAGCGGCACAAGAAAAAGAAGCCTCCAATGCATCATCACAATTATCTGCATCATCTGCAACAAAAACATCCATCTTGCGACCATTAAGCCTCAATTTGTATCTTTTTTTCTCGTTGTTTCTGCTGCCGTCGTTGCTGCACTTTCACTCACTCACTCACTCACCCTCTCTGCTCTTTCAGTCTCAAACTCCCTTTGGCAGGCATCGTCGCCGTCAGCGAGCTAGGAGTGAGCGAGCGCACACATCACAAGCATTCCACTTCTCATGGTCAATTACTCAACTCAACAACTCACAGTGCCCACACCAGTGCACGAGCAGCATCAACAGCCGCTCTGACATCAGCAGCAGACGTAGATAGCAATTGTGCTGCAGCAGCCAGAGGAAGATGTGAAGTCGTACAGTGACTGCTTCCACCGCTACCTCCATCTTCATTGGGATTCTCGCCTTCTCCTCTTCTTCCTTTCCTTTACCAGAGGTGTGCAGACAGTGTCCAGTGATTGCCATCTGTGTAATTGAACGCAACCATCAAACTCTTCTTTCCCTCCCTTAATCTTTCTCCTTCAAAGAGTTAAAGGAGGCTGATTCACCCCATTGAAAAGAGCGAGCACTCTGCGACGACGCCTTCAGTTGACACCTCCAGTTCTGACGTTTGTTTGTTTTTATCTTCTTTTATGTTGTGCGCAATTAGCATTTTATTTCGTCTTCACTCTCATCAAATTCCCCACTTTTCAACCGGTGTGTGTGTGTGAAGTACAGTGAATCAGACCATCGCCACCAGTGGCTGCGGCTTCTACTTCTATGTAAGTTGAACCTTTATTTTTTTGCCTGCGCTTTCCTTGAGCGATAGCGTAACCGTAGTTGTGCGTCGAAAGTGTCACCCTTATCAACTGTGCTCGTTTCTAGTTTCATTTGTTTAGTATACAGCACCTTACTGCTTTACTAAACTTTGCACTGACCAACTGGAGTGATAGCGGCAAAAGAGACGACTTAAAAGAAAATGATAAGGCTTAGTTTTCTTTTCCTGTTTCTTTTCTTAAATGATTGACTTTTGCATTTTTACTTATTTTGCATTCAAATTTGTTTGCATTTTTAAGCCAGTTTTGTAGCAAGTATTTCATTCCTGTGACATTAAATTTTAAGGTTTTCAGTTGTATTGATTCAAAGCATGCTTGTCAGCTCAAATGGTAAAAACGTGAATTTTTTTCTGTTTAATATTTGCAGAATCACTGCAAAACACACTGTCAATGCTGTTGCAGTGCACTGGAGCTGATTGGCTTCTGTTTTCCATCACTTGTTTTTTCAAAAATGTTATATTTCAATTTGATTCGATTGTCTCTCGTCTAATAAGCTCATGATAAATTTATTTACTTGATCGAAAGGTGAACGATTGCTTTTACGATCTCTTTTCAGTAACTCAATTTACTTGTAAATGTGTATTAGAATTGGCAAAACATAAAATTTTTCATCAATTCTAATGATTTTTTGCTGCAAAAGTAAATTTTCATTCGTAAATAGCACTGCAATGATGATTTACTAAAAAAGCAAAAATGTACAATGTTGCTGTTTCCTCGTTTTATCGATTATACACTTCAATCATCAATTTATAGCAGTGTCCAGAGTTGAATTTGTTTTCTGAATTCACCATTGATATTTGAAATCAAATGAAATCGCTGTTCCATCGAACGTGAACTACTTCCGTTTACTTTTCTTTGCATTTTTAATGGCCACTGCTTCCATTACTGGTCTACTCAATTGCTGTTTTGCAGCATTGCCAGTGGTGATGCCTGTCAACGGAGAATAAGTGCAGCAATCTAATCATAAACTTACGTGCTCACTCACACTCGCATGCCTCATAAGGCACCAGGCAGTCTCTGCACTTGGGGTTTAGGATAGTGCCACAGTGCCTCAGTCCATCTTGACAGCAAAAAGGGGAGAATCATATCGTATTGAATCAGTGGCTAATGAGCCTACCACTCTATTAGACGTAACTGCATTTGCTTTTCCCTGCAAATGGTCAGAATATGTCTCTTTATTAGCTTGATCGTCATCATCATATGTTCTTTCTCTCTCTTTCTAATTGGCCAATTAATCAGTGCTCGGAAGCAGTGAACGACAATACGCATTGTCCTACAACCGCCATAGGCGGTAGTGACTACTTCTTCCTGCTTTATCACTTGACTATTCTTTTTTTTTAATTACTAATGAAAAATGTATTTGTACAGAATGCTCAAAGTAAGTTACTGCAGCGTCTGTGTGTTAAAAAGATTTTAACTGAGTCAGAAATTGTCTACTACCTTATTCTTTTGCTGTTTCTACTGCAGTTCTCTTTCTCCTGCTGAGCCGACTGAGTGGCCTTGCATAACAGCTAGCTGCCGTTGTTGTTTTGTGCACTCTGCATTAATTCTGCAATGTTTTGGTTTCAGTAATGTTCCTCGGTACAATCGATAATGAGTGGTCCTTCCTTCCTCTGAATTCTGTCTCGGCTTTGTGATGTTCATCATTTTTGGCCGACCGCCATCATGGGGTAATGGATACCATCAGCAGTAAGTGCTACGACTACTTGGAGCAGACCCTTCCTTTTCATTTTCATCCTTCATATGTGCCCAGTGAAGCGAAAAGTCGGGCAGTGGAAAAAGGAGAAAAAAGAAAAATGGGCCTTACTCTACTGCGTTTTCATCGGCCCTCGATCAGATTTGTTATGGCACTTTCACTCTGGCTTGCGTCGCTCTTACTCGTTGAATCTTTCAAGTGGACATTCGACAATTACCCTAATTAAGTTGGCCAAGTTGCGTGCTCACGAACTCTCTTCATCTTTCTTTTTCCCCTTTTAGTCCGCTTACCCATCTGACTGAACAATTAAGCGGGCAATCTGTCGTGCCGTATATTTTTCCCTTCCACAGAGATGATCACTGCTGCTAATTTGCACATTCTCTACCACTACATCCCAAGTTGAGGCTGATGATGGTTTAAGCTACTTTAGCGTAGTTCAAACTTTAGTCATTTTGCAAGCCATCTTTCACCTTCATTTTCAGCGCTGAAACTTGGTGCTCAGCCACTTGAATGCCAGTGCCTCCTCTGGCGACAGCTTTGTTCTGGTGCAATTTTGCAACATCAGCAGCAGCAGTGCCAGCAGACAAATCACCGAGTCTTGTCACCAGCCAGTGTGCCCGGCGACGACCAGGCGACCACTTCAATTTAGTGGAGGCCATTGTGTCAGTGCTTTGTGCTCGCGCCCAAACTAACGGAGCACTCATCGGTGCTTTCCCCCATTTCTGCCTCCTCAGCATTCTCCTCTACCTAACTGTTTGGCTTTTTA